CATATCAGTCAGTGTGCTGCTGAATGCTTGCGAATCATAAAGTGAATTCAAATTGCTTCGGTACTTAAATATCTGTGCTTTTTTTCGCGCTAAATTTTTACTCTATTTGAATATTTTCTTGGTCTATTTTATGTTCAAATCCCGCCATATTCACCAATTCAGTTCAAATTAATTCCATTAAACAGTCAAAAAAATTTTTTCATTTGCCCTCAAATGTTAAGAGTTTATTTACTGGTGACTTTTTTGATTATTTGAATAATCACACTTATTTTTGAACAAACTCATTGATAAGTCAATCGCGCTCGATTTTGAATCAATTTGCAATTAATATATCATGAGGTTTCACGCTTTTCCGTGAAAAGACACACTCCAACACATTATTAGAGTTCCAAAACCATGATTCTGTCAAAGCTATTCTGATTCATAAAATATTAGGTTTGTGTACTTGTGTGAACGATTAACTCTGAACATTTTTGCATTCTTACGAGAACTGTCTTATTTCGTTCTTTTGCATTTACTTCGCTCTGATTGAAACAGTACCATTATGATACATCGTGAAGTGTGTGCGTGATATAAGCGCATCCAAGTCAAGGTATTTGCGAAGTGAGTAGTGCTAACTTCTTCGAGCTAATATGAAATTGCGCTTTATTTTTCAGCCCCGAAAACCGGTGCAAAGGTACTACAGAATGCGTCCTTTCATTGTATCATTAAATTCTTATTGTAACTTTATGTCGCCGCTGCCTGCCACGCACGTTCCACCGTTCAATTCGATCACGTCTTCTCCAACAATATTTCCAAACTGTTATTCCGCTGAACAGTGGTACTACACGATCCTTTGCAGGCAATTAATGATCAGTAGAATGGCGCGCACAGGGGTTTAATGATTTTCTTTGTAGATTTTGTATACATTTTATTGCATTAAATACTTTATAATTGGTGAAAATTGACCTGATATATTCATAAACACTTTGATGAATAGTCCTCTGTGAAAAAATAAAAAATATAAGCATATTTGTATTTTATAGACGTACGGATGAAAATAACTGACCATAGTTTCAACATTTAAAAAGTTTAGGCATCCTTCCATCAAAGCATGGCGGTAGGAGGGGTATTGCAAGAAAGTACTGTGAATGCTCCTAAAAGGCCTAAACGTAGGGCTCAGCCAAAGTTCGACTTTGCTCATCTTGCTAGAAGTATCGAAAACGAAAACAGAGTAAGTTTTGCACAAAAAAATCCACGTGTAACGAAGGTTTCAGACATTTTTTATAGTAAATTTTATAATGCAAGTGAAATTGTGAGAATCGTTGCATGTGAATACCTTTAGCGAACTGAATTTAAAAACAGGTCAAATATAATTGTAGAAAGGTCAAGCCTGATAGTTTCTGATCTCGAACTATGATTGGCTACAAAATAAATTGTCTCATTCACTTTTTGGTGTGATTGGAATGAGTGATATTTACTAATAGAATTAACGAGCAGACAAAAGCATCGATGTTGAGTTGTTTATAAAAAAAAATAACTTTTAAGAAGCAATGAAAGATTTCTGATTTCTAAGAAGGTAGATTTTATTCCAGAATTCGGAGACAGAAGTTTGTCACAAATTTTCTCTGAATACTCGCCCGATTCGAATCTATAATTCCTTCATCCGAGGTACAGTATTAGATTTTTCAGATAGCAAGAGAATCAGGGCGCCCAGATGAAGAAGTAGCACGGAACTGCTCGCCGCATACATCCATGGCATCGACTTCAACAAGCACAGACCAAAATAAACCTTGGTAAATATTAAAAGAGGAAAAAAAGTGCTACTTACTCTAATTCACTTATTCACTTCATTCTATTTAATAATTGAGGCATCAGAATCCGAAATGAAGCAATGTGAAATAACAAATGATTATTAAATGTGGCCAATAAAATTGATAAAAGCGGTTATCGCGATTGAAAATTATAATTGATATAAGAATTACGGTACTTATACCATTCCTGAATTGATAGGCTTATAATGGAATGGAAGTAATTCAAAAAGGTATGAAAGTCTGAATTTAATCAATTAAAGTAAGTCAGTCAGTCAATATTATCAGGTTTATGCTACCAAGGCAGGGCACTGGGAGAGGACTGCGACCGAAGAAGGAGTTCATTTGTCAGTATTGTCAGCGTCACTTCACAAAGTCCTACAACCTACTGATTCACGAACGTACTCACACGGACGAGCGACCGTATGACTGCGATATATGCGGGAAAGCCTTTCGTCGGCAAGATCATCTGCGCGATCACAGGTACAATGTTCTTGTTTGTCCCGCAGATATACAGAATATTTGCATATTTGAAAGGTCAAATATATCAGTAAATGTTTGCTATT